TTTCCACAGGGGAATGAAGCTTCAAAACATTTGTTACCTGCATTGTTTCAGTATTGCATTAATTTGCATTAATTACCCCCACTGACTTTAATTCCTGTAGGAAACATTCTGTCTCAGACCCATTTAGCCAGGAATAGCTGGCCAGCCCTTAAAGATGCATGTAACCTATATAAAATCAAAACAAAAGTCTTTGACTATTCCAGGATTCCATAGTATTGGACCTGTCAGAGTACCTGGGACTCTGATAATAATTTGTAACTCACCATTTTTCCTACATGCTTAAGTTAATAAGATAATATCACAAGTGTGATGATTGAGTTAAGTCTTACTTAGACCTTAAAAAAGAACCCTGAGTTTAGGGCTAGCTGTAGAAGTGACACCTAAGTAACAGAAGGTGAGCAAGGTAATTCGTTTATTGGCCCACTTCTGTTAGTAAAAGAGACAAGCTTTCGAGTTCTGGGCCTGAAGAAGGGCTCTGTGTAGCTCAAAAGTTTGTCCTTTTTACCAACAGAAGTTGGTCCAATAAAAAGATATTATGTCACCCACCTTATCTCTCTACTATCCTGTGATCAATACGGCTACAATAACACTGCAAACCAAGGTACACAAATACCTTCTTCTGGTGATGCACATAGGGCCAGATCCTCAACTGGTGTACATTAGTCAATGGAAATTCTGCCAATTTACATCAGCTGAGGTTCTGCCCTGCTATGTTTAATTATGCCTCATAATTCTGGATTTTATTTAATAGTTCACTTTTTAGTTTTCAGCCTAATATTTTAATTAGTTTTGTGGGTGTGAATTCAATCAAAGATTACTGGTTTTGCACTAGTGTAACTCCATTGACTTCAGTAGAGCTATTTGTGGCTTACAGCAATGTGAGAGGAGAATTAAACCCAATGCACACACGGGTATGTGTAGTGTGGTAGGTGTACTATAAACATTTACTGCCAAAGAGTCAGCTGGACATAAACTGCTAATGTTATTTCAGGTTTAATAGCACCTCAGGGAGCCAGGAAAACAGTCTCCAGAAGACCTTTAAAAGTGATCTATTAACTTTTTTTAATAGGTCTGAAACTTTGGCATGAGGTGCTGACTGACTCAAGTGAAAAGGGTAAGGAGGGCTTTCCAGCACACTCTTAAATTTATCTTAAGACATTTTTCCTCTTCTTTGTAGAATTGTCTTCCTTTCTGTTGTGAGACACCCCAGCATCCAGTCTGCTGGTGATGTCACATCCAGCATAGGTTATTTAATATTTTATCATATATCTAAATGAGTATAAAATAAGAATCCAGAATAATTTGTTTAGGGTGCAGTATTGGAATAAACCAGACTTCTCTTAGCTCTGTTGGCAGCCTCTGGTCTTCAATAGTGGATCTGTTATCTTAGCATAGTGCACGTTGAATTATTACATGGTGTGGAACGCTTGTAAGCACTGAGAAATTTGTCTGCTAAAACCTGGCAAAAATAGTTATGCTAACCAGGATATTTTAAAAACCTTTATGCTGTTTTGGAGAGTATCAGTTACCTAATTATAAAATTATGTCACTGGCTTTTTGCAGATCATCTTTAAATTTTAATTCATTTAACACTGTCTTACCACATCTACAAAGGCTACCTACATGATGCTATAAAATGGATTGATACAGTTTTACAATATATTCATGCATCAGAGGAACCACAAATACAAATGTATCTTTGTCCACAAGATTGTAATCTATTTGGGTCCCTGGTTCTCTTTATTTTGACCCTTTTACAGCATCAAGCACATGGCTGGCATGTAATAAATAATGTGACATCAGCACAGGTGACAGGACTCGTTCAGTTTAAACCAGGGTTGAATAATAAACATTGCAAGGTCTACATCCCTTAGAGTCTAAAGAATGGGAATGATTTGTATGGCAGTCTGACCCTGAGTTCTCATTTGAACAAATTTGACAAGTGCTATAGAACATATATTTTTAATATATCTAGAACTGACAGATTCTTATAACTAAAGCCCTCTCCAACTTTTCCTTGTGCCACATACCGTCATGAGTAGAAACCGAATTAGCATCAACTAAAAGCCTGGAACAGATTGGGCCGTAGTCTTCTTTATACTAAGACCACTTTACACTAAGTCCCCATTCTGATAGGGTAAAGGCTCCTTAAAGTGAAAATATATGTAATTTACACCCACTTGAAGGATCAGTTACTCTGCCAGAGTGGTGTAAAAGGATCTTGATGTAAACAAGAATCAAGCCCCTTACTCCAGTTTTTACAGCATACTTTCAGCATATGGCTGAAAGAAAGTGCAATTAATGTTAGTGCTGAGGACTTGTACTTTCTTTTGGTGACTGCCTCCAGTGTCTCCCTTCCTGCTTTTTTGCTTCTCGCTGCATTTCAGTGGGAGGCCCAAAAACAGAACTACAGGGAAAGCTAACAGGGTGGATTGAAGAAAAAAATAGCTGAAGTCTTTAGTTTCCTGCACAGAAGTAAGAGAGTGGCCCCTTGTGGTGCAAAGCCAAAACTGCAAAGGGAACAATCTCTCAATTCTAGGTCCCAGGTTACAAGGAAGAATGCCAAATGAAATACAGGTTTCAGAGTGGTAGCCATGTTAATCTATATCAGCAAAAGAATGAGGAGTACTTGGTACTCCTAATTTTTTTAAAATGAAATACAAACATTCAAGGAATGTGGTATCTATTATCTACTGTTGATTATTTGAGGGCCTGTGCACCGTTCTTCTTGGATTAATATTAGTTTTGGTAATTTGTAATGTGATTCCTGAAAAAATGAGATTCCCCAATAACTCTTATGTACAAATACTAAGAATTTCTGGTCTCCTGAGAGAGGCGTGGTCTAATGATTTGACCACAAGAGTGGGAACTCTCAATTGAGGCCATATGATTCTGTCAGTTGCTTCCAGCCAACTTCTCAATGAAATCAGCGGGAGTTTCATGTGAACAATGGACAGGATAATCAGGTCCTTGGTTTCTCATCCCTTTTCTGACACTCCCTCAGTGGCACTTTGACTCTGTGCTTCCATTTCCCTATTCATAAAATGGAGACAATACTAAGAATTTGATAATGTGTTTAAAGTGCTTTGAAAATTAATGCTATATGAGTTCTAGGTATGCTGGATTTGTAATATTCTGCTTACCTTGCAAAGTGTTCCTGTTTTTTATTTTATTTTGTCAGGTATCTGAGGAGGGGATGGAATGGGGGTGGATTTGTTTATTATGGTAATGTGTTGGGGTTGAATTATAATTGTATGGAGGTGGGTAATGGTTTATAATAGTTCATTGTGTACTTATTGATTATTATGTTTTAAATATTGGAAGGGATATACAGAGAAGGGAATGGGTCTCCATGTGTAGGTATAAAAAACTCTAAATAAATAATATTGATTGCTATGTTTAATTATGGAATATAACCTGTTCATTCTATTGGCTTTAGTCATCCATAGCTATGATTAAACTAAGTTTATGTGAAATTCTATAATTTAGAAAAATAACATATTGTAACCACAGTTAGCTTTCTTTAGATCCAAATTAACCACTGTTTTTCTTAGCCATGTTAATAAGAAATGTCAGAAGTAAAACTTACAATGAACAGTCTTATGCAAGGAGACACAAAGTATATTGCACATACCGATTGGGTATATTGCAATCCGTAGCACATAGTTTATTATAGCACTTGATAGTGGAGTCTTCTGTAGTACTTCTGTAAGGACAAGGTTTTGCAAAAATAAATTGTATTATATGTAGTTTTCTGCATCTGAATTCAATAAAGCTGAGAACAGTTATATTTTAGCTGGGTGTGATTTTTTCCTGTAATTTTTCAATTACAAACAAACAAAAATGAAATATGCTGCCTAAAATTTCCCTGAATACACTAGGAAGGCACAAATTCTCATCAATACACTGCCAAAATTTTAATAAAGGGCTCCCTCAAAAGATTTCCAGAGCAGCTGGTGATTACACATGATATTCCCTAAGTAAAGTACTCACCAACTCCCATCCACTAATTCCATGCTCTTCTCCCCACGTCCACCCCCAAGAGCCCTGCCAATCATGCCAGTACACATCCATTAATCCTTTTATCTCCACTCCTCTCTTTCCACCATATTTCCCCTTCACTAGCACCACATGAAGAATCCTCTAGATGGCTAGTCTATCTGGAAGTTGTTCTGCATTGCAGCAGCAGCAGGGCTGTCAGGTGGGTTTCCTGAAACCTCTGACTAGTTGGTTGGGTGAATCCCTCTAATGCTGGGCTAGTTTGTGGTTGGGGAATGGGTCCCCTTTGATTCTTGAGGTGGGTGTGTATGCCCTGGCTGCTGGCAGCCTTTCCTATCTGGTGTAAAGGGTCTGGGTAGAAGAGTGGGGAGGTGATGGCGATGGTGGATGGGGGAGCAACATCTCCAGGTTCTCTCCTACTGGCTGTTCATACTCTACAGGCAGTCAGTGATGAGGAGAGTGGCTGGAGGACTTTCACCGAGTGCAGCAGCAGCACCTTGGCCCTGTCCCTTCTTCTTCATGCACTGCTGGAATGATCAATATCAGGGAGAGGTGCAGCGATGATGCTTCCACCAGACACTCCTAATAAGCCTGGTGGAAGACACAAGATGGAATTCCCTCTTGAAACCACTGTTGCACATGTGGCAATGGCAGTCGCATCTGCAAAGCAGCACCTGACTGAGCAACCAGCTTAGTCCTAGGTTCAGGAAAGGCCAAGAATTCTAACTGGCAGAGCCGCCTTAGCATTTTTGTGTGCGGTTGGCAAACCGCTTTCTGCTCCCTTAATGTAACTGACTTCTGTTCACAATGATCACACCGCTCTGAGAAAGGCTGGCCTGAGGATTTTGATGGGTGTTCGTTTTAAGGTGTTTGTGTGGCTTTGCCTTCAGAGTTTAAAGTTAGAAAGTCCTAAAATGTTGGCTTCCTTTCTTTCCATATTTTCCCCATTCTTAGGATAGTTCTTTACAACAGATATTCATTTTTTTTCTTTTTACATATAGATTCTGTTGGAGCCAGGAGTAATCCAGGATGTGCTAGCAGCTGGTAGTCACCTGCAGCTGTTGGAGCTCCTCAGTTTATGTTCTCACTATCTCATCCAGGTAAGGCTCCTATACCTAATTAACTGACCATTTCCCTTTGACTGCAGACCTTATTTCCAAGGTTAAATCCCATAATTTTGAGTTACATATAGGAAATGTTACGGAACTAGGATAATACTAGTTCAGTTTGTGGTCAGCGTGGTCTAGTAAGGTTCTGGACTAGAAGTAAAGAGACCTGAATCCTGGCTGTACCACAGATCTTCTGTGAGTTTGGGCTAGACGTTGAACCTCTTTCTCCGCATCCACCCTTTGTCTGTCTTGTCTATTTAACTTTAGAGAGAGAGGATGGTCCGGTGGTTAGGGTGCTAGCCTAGGTCTTGGAAGACTTGGGTTCAAGTCCATGTTCTGCCACAGACTTCCTATGTGACCTAGTGCAAGTCATTTACTCTCTCTGTGTCTCAGTTCTTCCTCTGTAAAATGGGGATAATAGCACTTTCTTACTTCATATAAGTACCATAGATATCTAGATATAGATTGTAAGCTCTTTGGGGTAGGGACTATCACTGTTTGTACAATGCCTAGCACAATGCGGCCCCATTACTGACTAGCCCCATGCACTCTTCTAGTATTAATAATGGTACCAATATTGTGAGGCAACAAAATAAATGTTTGTTTATTTGGATTGGCTAAATGAAACAGATTTTGATGGTAGCAAGAGCAGCAGCTTTAAATCACCAATGTCGCAATGGCATACACTGTTAAAAGCAGCAATTTCACTTGATTTCCCCCCCCTTTCTTTATAGTGTTTTTATATTTTATCCACAATCAGACACTTTGAGACAGGGTCAATGGCTTATAATATATGGTGGTGTTAATTTGTCTATGAAGTGTAAGTCAATCAGAAAACCAAAGTAAATGGTAAAATAGTGAAATTTTCAACAGTCTGGCATTCGGTGAGTGTACAGAATGACTGTACATTATTCTTAGAGAATGAAAGGGGTGTGTAACAGGAAAGGCAGTTAATCAGACAGTGTAAAGAAAGGGGCTGGGGTGGTTCAGCATGGGGCCCACACTCTACTTTACCTTAGTCCCTCTACTTAGTTGCTTTTCCTGCTGCACCATCTTAATATTTCTCTCATACAACCAATTCATTGTCCATTGCAGTCAATGGAAAGACTCCCATTGGTTTCAATGGGCTTTGGGTTAGGTCCTTGATGTGTAACACAAAGGGTTCAGTGCTATATTGCTGTGCTCACCCAAAAAACAATCTGAAGACGTCCATTCAAGTAGCCTGTCAAATGAATAATAATGATGAACCCGATATTGCAAAAATCCCACTGAGCAAGGACTGCCAGACTGGAACCAACAAGCAAATTATTCTCTCCAGATCCCACTGAAGTCAAAGGGAGTCTTTCCTCTGACTAGAGTGGTAGTAGGATCAAGCAGTTAGTTGCACTTATATTAATCAAGAGTAGTTGGAGTTACCCTCACTTACACCTCTTTTACAAACAGTGTAAAATCATGATTTTCATGAATCAGGCTCAAAGTTTGTAAAGGCTTAGGAAAAAATTCTTTGCTCTGACAGCGCTGATATATTTCTATTCAGTAATTTTGGTCAGGCTCAGCTGGTGTAAATCAGCACAGCTGCATGGAAATCAATGTAGCTACACCAGTTCATACTTACTCAGTATTTGGCCCTTGGTTTATTATGTTTATTTACTAAATTTAGGTTCTGCCAAGGGATCTGTACAGGAAGATTTATACCACTAAATCCGCGTCAGAATTCACCTGCATTAATTCCTTTGCAGGGTAGGGTCCATTCATATAAAGCTATCTGCAAGTGTCACGTCTAATATTAAAATCTCTTTCTAGACATTGACAAAATACATTTTATAACAGTGTAGAGAGAATTCCCACTGTCCAAATCAAAGCTATCAGATGCCTATTTAAAGTCCACATGACACTGATTAATTAAAAAAATAAATAATTTTTTTGGTGGTAGTATAAAGGACTAAGGGCAGGTCTTCACTACAGGGGGTTGTTCGATTTAAGATACGCAAATTCAGCTACGCGAATAGCATAGCTGAATTCGACGTATCGCAGCCGACTTACCCTGCTGTAGGGACAGCGGCAAAATCGACCTCTTCGGCTTCCTGTCGACGGCGCTTACTCCCACCTCCGCTGGTGGAGTAAGAGCGTCGATTCGGGGATCGACTGTCGCGTCCTGACGGGACGCAATAAACCGATCCCCGAGAGGTCGATTTCCACCCGCTGATTCAGGCGGGTAGTGTAGACCTAGCCTAAGAAAAAGGCCCAGATTTTTAGGAGTTGCTACAATCAGCATTGCAATCCCCTAACTGATTTAGGAGCCTACGTCTGATTTTCAAAGGTGATTTAGGCACTTAGGAACCAAAAGCTCATTGATAGTCAATGGGATTCAGGCTCCTACATGCCTAAATCTCTTTTGAAAATGAGGTTTAGGCTCCTGAATCAGTTAGGCTTTGCAATGCATAGCAGCACGTAAATATCTTTAAAAATGTGAGCCTTAGTTAACCAGGCCACCTTAAAAACTGCTGCCGGTGGGACCCAGGAAGTATCTCCAGGTGTGACTCCACTCAGTATGATGCAAATGGTAAGGTATGGGGAGTGGAATAATCCCTTCCCACACTTGTCTTTTTCTAATGTTGCTGTCGGATCCCTGGGTGCTGCATAATTCTCGGTTTACCATGGCATTGGATTTCTTTCTTTTTTCTTTTTTTTTTTCTTTTTGTTTTGAATTGTTGAGATATTGAGCTTTAGCTCAGCATAGCCTAAGGAAATACATTATATTGAACGTATCTAGTTTATTATTGTTGTGTGATGCTGATGCAGAGTTTTTGGTTATTAGGATTTTCTGTAATTTTTGGGTTGGGTGTAGCACAACCTTCTTGAGGGTGTTTTTAATAATAGCTTTCCTTGTTTCTCCCTGGATATTCTTAAATTTTTGCCAACACGGGCATTCAAGATTAACTGTCTGACTCCATTCCTTCCACCTAAATATGAGCCCAATTGAACTCCCATAGACGTCAATGGGAGTCTTTCTGTTGATTTCAGTGGGAATTAGACTGGGCCATTGTTTTCTCCAAATAGAAGCAAATTTTCTTTGGAGATACAAAGAAAAATGTTATTCTGATTCTCTTTTCACTTACTCTAATACAAATCAGCAGAAATTCCATAACGCTCAGTGGAAATAAACCAGTGTAAGACCAATGTGAGTGAGAGGAGAATTTGGCCCCAAGTTCACTGCAATTAGTTTTCTGCAAGATATATTCAATTCATTTGACTCCAGTGTAGATGCCAGTTCTCTTAGAATGACTAACTTAGAACAAGTTATTGAATCTGTTGATAAATCTCACAAAGATTTCTATAACAAATTGCTTGAATCACAAACACAAGTCAAGAGTATGAAATCACTAATACGAATTTCTGATTAAAGATAATGTTATATGAAACAGAATAAACTTAAGACCCTGGGACAGTTCTTCAAAATTATGTAATGGACATATCTTAGAAATTTCTGGTAACACTGTGGAATCAAGCTATATGATATTTCTGGTTCACTGAATGAACTTTTCTATTTCTATGTTTCACATATTACCACCAAATTCTTTTACTCCTACCGTGGATTCCATGTTTTTATCTGGAAAAATCTTTGTTAATTTAAGATCAACAACTGATTGTGAAAGAAGTATGAATTAAGTTTAGAAGTCTAAATGGAACATAGTTTTAAATTATAAAGTTTATATTTTTGCCTAACATGGGAACAAAAGTATTCAGTCAAAAATGAAGGAAGTTCCTTGTTTTAAGGCCAGATTTCCATGTTCTCTTGACTTTTGCATAGATAAGATAAGAACGTAAGAATGGCCATACGGGGTCTGACCAATGGTCCATCTAGCCCAGTATCCTATCTTCTGGCTGTGGCCAGTGCCAGATGTTTCAGAGGGAATGAACAGAACAGAGCAGCTAATCTAGTGATCCATCCCCTGTCATAGCAGTCAGAGGTTTAGGGACACCCAGCGCATGGGGTTGTGTCCCCGACCATATTGGCTAATAGCCAGTGATGGACCTGTCTTCCATGAACTTATCTAATTCTTTTTGACCCCAGTTATACTTTTGGCTTTCATAACATCTCCTGACAGTGAGTTCCACAGGTTGACTATGTGTGGTGTGAAGAAGTACTTCCTTATGTTAGTCTTAAACCTGCTGCCTATTAATTTCATTGGGTGACCCCTGGTTCTTGTGTTTGTTAAGGGGTAAATAACACTTCCCTAGTCACTTTCTCGACACCATTCATGATTTTGTAGACCTCTATCATTTCACCCCTTAGTTATCTCTTTCTAAACTGAACAGTCCCAGTCTTTTGAATCTCTCCTCATATGGAAGCTGTTCCATACCTCTGATCATTTTTGTTGCCCTGATCTGTACCTTTTAGAATTCTAAATATATTTTTTGAGATGGGGCAACAAGAACTGCATGCAGTATTCAAGGGGTGGGAGTGGCATTATGATTTATATAGTGGCATTATGCATTTATGTCAGGGCATTTTCTATCCTAATACTCTGTTAGCTATTTTGACTGCCACTGCACACTGAGCAGATGTTTTCGGAGACCTATCCATGATGACTCCAAGATCTCTTTCTTGAGAGCTAACAGCTAATTTAGACCCCCATCATTTTGTATATGTATTTGGAATTATGTTTTCCAACGTGCATTACTTTGCATTTCACTCTATGCTTTCTTTCACAGATAGTCCCACTCCCCCACCAGCACGACCTACTCTCTCATTCCTATATATGTTGTACCCTGGTATTATTGTGTCCCATTGATTATCATAATTCCACCAAGTTTCTGTGATGCTTATTATATCAATATCTTCATTTAATATCAGACACTCAAATTCACCAATCTTAGTATTTAGACTTCTAGCATTTGTATATAAGCACTTATAAAATTTGTCAATATTTAATTGCCTGCCTTCATGTGATGTAACTGAATGGGACTCTTTTTTTTGTTTGACTGTT